AATACTACTCCCATAAGTGCTGGGATCCTCTATACTATTGAGGTGGAAGTCATTATAAAGTCATATTGAATATGTATTCAGTATGACTTTATAATATAATGACTAATTGTCATTCTATTAGACAATGAATCTGGAAAGCAAAAACAAGTTTTCATCAGGAGTGAAATCAAGAACATGAGTTACAAGATGTACAAGGAAGTAATCTATCTTATATTGACATAATCACATGCATCTTAGAACTTACTTTGGCATATAAAAATATTACCATTAGGAATGTCTACCCTTGCCAAAAGATTACATATTGCAGCAACAAAGAAAGAAATAGAAGGAAAAACTATTTAATATACAAATGGTAGCTAGCCTCAAACTTCTAATCCATTCCCTGTGAAGTAAGAATGGTTTCCTGTTATTACATGGAGTTATAGTAGCAGCAATAGTAGCAGCAATAGCAATTTTTATTAAGTGTTTGCTTGTGCTTAAGGTCAGTTTAGGCAATGGAGTAAGTTTATCTAATACCGAGTTTTATTTCAGCAATAAGCTACATACTTTATTTCTCTGCAAATAATATGACTTAGATGGGTAGCTAAACATAAATGTGTTCATATCAATACTGTGCAGCATTAACCAGTGGAACAACCTGCCTCCAGAAGCGATGAATGCTCCAACACTGGAAGTTTTTAAGAAGAGACTGGACAGCCATTTGTCCAAAATGGTATAGGGTTTCCTGCCTGAGCAGGGGGTTGGACTAGATGACCTCCAAGGTCCCTTCCAACTGTATTATTATTATTATTATTATTATTATTATTATTATTATTATTATTATTATTATTATATGCTTTATTTAAAGTTGTTCCTGTTTAAACTTGCAAAGATGGGAAAATGGGAATGAACTAGATGTCCCTGTGTGTGTGTGTGTGTGTGTGTGTGTTTGTATCTTTGTGTGTATTCCAGTGCAACGTCTGTTGATTAGGCATGCATGCAGACATATATTATTTATTTATATATTATTTACTTCACTGTAGCTGTACAAAAGTAGTATTAGATAAAAGAACACCACTTGATTCATTGATTCTTTGAGATTCATACTGTGTTTTCCTAGAATGATACAAGAATCAACTCACTTCCAGCATATTCTTTCTTTAATATTGGCAATATGCTAATTACATTTTTAATAAAAAAATAAACATGTAGACAATAACACTTTATTGGAAATATTTCCCCCAAATATGATATGAAATAGACTGGGATGATTTATAATCATTCTAAAAACTGCTGAAATGTCTTAGTCATATGAGTAAAATCAGAACCATACAGGAGGTGTACTATATTAGAACATTTCTGTTTTGCATTATTCTTTATCTTTTTCTTATCAAAGGCAAATGAAATAAATGTTCAGGGTTTTCTTATCTGAAAGATAAGATTGTATTTATGAAGAGGAGGTACTGATAACATGTTTTTACCATTCTTAGTTCTTCCACATTTTGAACAGTTTTTCTGGCAAGCTTTCTCAACATGACTCTCCAACAGGGAAGGAATTGCAAGTCATAGAATTCCCAGCCAATATAGCATTTGGCATATTAGGAGGGTACTAGATTCACAAAGACCTCTTGTATGTACATGTAAATAATAGATAAATAAATAGATAAATAAAAATAATTTTAGCAATAGATTAATTAATTAATTAATTCTCAACAGTTTTCACAACAATACTGTATGCATCATTCTGCAACAAAAAATGCAACTGTCTTGTTGCCTGAGCCTGACATCATAGGCTGAGAGAAAGAAGGATTAGTCTAGTATAACCAAGAGGGTTTTCATGCCTAAGGTGGGTTCTAGAACTCACAGTCTTCTGGTTTTTATCTTGGTGCCTTAACCACTAGAGCAAACTGACTCTGTCATATAGTATCTGAATACTAGAAACGAAATAGTTTATTTTAACCATGTCTATAATATCTTTTTTTGTAATAATTTAATTGACACATTTCATTTTTTAAATGCTTAAGCAATATTTTAGGCCTTGCAAATTATTGGCGTGTTGTTGAACAAATTCTGGTGAGTGCTATGGTGATCTGATGTCCTGTTGACAGTGGCACTGCACTTGCTAGGGAAACTGCAACTGGATGCTTGGTCCAGATTGGTGAAATCTCTCTGGAGGAAGGAGAGATCATTGAGATAATCAGTATGGCTCCAAACAGTCACTCCTTATAAGAAAACCACAGGAATTTGCTGTTTTATGGTCTGCTGGGAATGTCTGGGAGTCAAGAGACACCACCAAGTTCACACTTGTAACACTGTTTTTTAAAGACATAAAGCTCAACTGAGCTTCATTTCTTAATCGGTTTCTGAAGGGTTTTTCTGTATTGGAATTATTAAGACTCTTGGATGGGCAAGGTTTATTATATTCATCAGGTGATCTATCTTTTCCTTTGAGAAACAGTTGTAGTTAACATTTTTAATCTTCTGAAAAATACTATTTTGGGGAATTAAATATTGAAAGCATGCTTGGAATATGGATTTTAGAAAGTTAACAATTGACTAAGGGCTGAGATGGCTTGCAATTATAATTTTGAATTAATTAGAAGAATTCTTCCTGTGGGAAATGGTGGTTATTAGGTTTTTTTAAGCAGAAACATGATAGTGGGACCCTGAAGGTTTGACATGATAGGGAGAAAGATGATAATAAATTTATCTCATTAAGAAAGATTGAAGCAAAAATCTTTGATTGATATTTTTGAATTTTGGTCTTCAAAATTATTTAATATGATAGATAGGTCCTGTGTCAATGAAGTTACAGAAGACGAAGAAGCTACCATGAACAAGTGTGAAATTAATTGGAATGTGGACTTAAATGTGTGAAGCAAAGAGAAGGATATGGAGAAATATATTCTAGATATACAAATAAAACCAATGGACATTTCACTGCTTAAAGGAATGTACAATTTTTAAACCAGAGTAATTATTTGGATAACTTCTTGCTGGATTCAGAAGAAAAGTCTGAGGAAGTCCTGAAAAACTTTATGAAAAGTGATTTTAAAAAGGACAAAATGTATATAATAGATATACAGAAGAGGCATGCTAAAGTTATGAAAGATCCTTGACTTGCCCCCTCCTCTAAATAAAGATGAATAGAAAACAAGCCTTGGGACTACATTTGATGGGGTTAAAATTAAGACTATTAAAAATTCAGGGAAGGAATACAAAGTTGACTTTTTTGATAAAGGTTAAAAGAGAAAATTAGTTATATCTGGTTTCTCCTACTGGATTTTTGTGATAAAGAATAAATAATGGACTTTTGGATTTGGTTTTTTAGCTAGGAGATGAGTTATGTGGTGAAGAGAGCATATATATATAATGTGGTAAGATACTAAAATTATTTTTACTTGTTAGGATGACAAGTTCCTTCTACATTTTTTCTCTGTTTTTATATTTTTATATTTTTGGTAGTTTGTATTAGTTTTTATTGATTGTAATTGTAATTCTTGATAAAATATTTTGGGGGAAAAGTAAATTATTCAGGTATGTGCCCTGCTTCTGAACCTGGAGTTGATAAGGTATAAATGTGATGATTGGAAGATCCTTCAGAAGTTCTCAAAGTCAATATAACATTCAAGAAGAGTTCTCCTTACAGTTAGTGTGGAACAGTGTCTGGAACATTGGGAAGGAGCTGGTGAAAATCTTAATTTGTTATGTTGCCATCTGAGATGCAGATTACAGCTTCAGCAAGAAAACTATTATAACCTAGTCTATGGAGAATGGATATATTAAACCTTATTTATTCATCCCTTTCGGCCTCTGACTGCTGTTTATATTTTGAAAATCCAGAATTAGATAATGAACAACACCTTGCTTGCTTCACTATACAACTTTGAAAGAGAAGCATATTAATAGAAATGAAAATCATGTTATCTTACTAAAAGTGTTGTTTCCATTTATATATAAAATAATCTTGCAATTCTTTTTATATATAAATGGAAGTAAATAAAGAGCAATTTATTATAGTCAGGATTAACATAGAAAAGATTTAATTTTGAGAAGGGCCACTGTAAACTGCTAATTAACAGCATACTTTTATGCAGTAGTTTTGCCCAGATAACAATACCAGATTAAAAATCAACATTTCCATACTCAGGCCTCACGAGCGTATGGATGTATTTGAGCCTTCAATTTAATATTTTGCTGATGTAGGTAAAAATCAAAGAATAATGCACTTTTTTTGGGAAGCAAGTCATTTTAGAATCTATGGCATAAAACAATGGAATTGTGAAACTTATGGAGCTGAAGGGATTTTTAAAAGCTGTATGCCAGAAGTCTAAAAGGAAAAAAAGAAAGAAATTCTGTTGTTATGCCCAAGGGTTTTGGTGTACTCAAAATATTTTAATAAGTATTGTGAGGTCAACCAGGAAGTCTTGGAAATTGTTTTCTTATGGCAGTTCCATTAAGTATGCTTCACTCTAGCATATGAGATCAAGTTAAAAAAAAACTAAGTTTAGGGCAATAAGACATCACAAGCATACATTATGGGTGGTAATGATATTTACTTATAAAAATTGTGCTCCATTTTTAACTGGTAAGAAATGAGCCTATCTTTTAATCATATTTTATAAATGTTTGTAGCTAATTTAACCATATTGATCCAAATAATACTTACAGATATATTCAGGATCTTGGATGCAGTCAGTGCTATTTTAAGTTTCTTTTTTTCTTCTAACATTTCACAGATTTAAAAATTCACCTGGGTTTGAAAATTATATTGGCCATATAACATCAGTTTGAAAATGTGTGGGTCCTCCTTGAGTATTTGCAACAAATTATGCCAATTTTGTTCTGCATCTTAATATTTATTTATTTATTATACCAACATGCATGATTCTGCAATCATCATGTGATTCTGGAAGGCTAGCAGAAGCTAAAAGAAAAAATAGAAAAGTGAAAACTTACTTATAAGTCATAGGTTATATAAATGTGTAGATTAATTTTAAAATACCTGTATTATTTTGCAGATGGACAAAGCCTATTTTGAAAAAGGGCTATAGACAGCGCCTGGAATTATCAGACATTTATCAAATTCCTGCTGCAGATTCTGCTGATAATCTCTCTGAAAAATTAGAAAGGTATGTATTACATATTTGGAAGCATATAATGTTATTTATCTGCCAATTGTTATTTTTTCTCCTACTTTTTCTCTTTGAATATTCTACACCAGGGCTTTTCAAGCTTTTCACCCATTGTACCACTTTTAGGATATGGCAACATCCGAGTACCACCAGTCGCCTAGCAAGGTGTCAAAAACTTGATAAAATACAGGTAGTCCTCGACTTACAACAGTTCGCTTAGTGACTGTTCGAAGTTACAACGGCACTGAAAAAAGTGCCCCCCAAGCCACAGCCAAGCAAGACACCTGCCTGCCCACCTGGCAGCACTCTTCCTTCTGTCTGAGATTTTCATTGTTGTGAGCATTTCTGTTGAGGATTGGCAGTGGGGGTGGGGTGGGGGGGTATTTGGGTTTTATTCCCCCCGTCTGCTGGGTGGTTGCAGCTGGTTTTGGTCATTTCACATGACCCTGGGACACTGTGACTGTCATAAATATGAATCAGTTGCCAAGCATCTGAATGTAAATCACAACTGCAACATTCCAGCTGATTGGCGCTTCTTCTGGACTCAGCAGAAGTGTCAGGATCAGTGCTGCTTTCCAGTTGATCGGTGCTTCTTCAGGGCTCAGCAGAAGCACCAGGATCAGCGCCGAGCTCCAGCCGAAGCCTGGCGCTGATCCTGGCGCTTCTGCTGAGCCCTGATAGCCCTGCAGCTCCAGCCATCTCTTGCTCAGGCTTGTGCAGTGCTGCCACCAGTTCAGCTCATTCCCCTCCCCCACTACTTTTCTAGGATGGTTGCGTACCACCTGCCAGGTGCCAATGTACCACAGGTGGTACCCGTACCACTGGTTGAAAAGCCCTGTTCTACACGGCATATGTTAGTGGTCTCTTATTTTATTCTCAGAAATATAATTCTATAAAGGTGATGGGGTTGAGTAAGAATAACGCCTATTGTTACTCAATAAATTCTGGAGCTGAATGGAGCTTAGAAACAGGCTCTCCTCAGTTCAGGTCCAAGGCCCTGACTCCTTATTACCTTTAATACAAACTGCATTGTAGTCACCCAGATATCATAACATTTCAAAGATATTAATGACAGTATAATCCTTTTTTATGTCCATGTGCCTTCAAGTCAACCTTGACTTCTGGTGACTGCTTGGTCAAATCCGTGCAGTTTTCTCAGCAAGGTTTCTCATTGCCTGCTTCCTAGGGCTGATAGAATCTCAGGAATATGTTCAAATGTAAATCTTACTTAGACATTAATACCTGGATTGCAGCACTAGTTTTTCAAAGCAATTATTTTCATATACATAATACAGAAATTACTTTGAAAATAGCTTTCTTTCCAATTATGTTTGTAAGCTATTTGGAAATTAAAAGACTCTTAGGATCCCAGTCCAGTGAAAAGCTTTTTAACAAATCATTCTTAATATACCATCAAAACTTCAGTTTATATATGATAATAAAAATGATGAGGATGAACCATTTTCCTCACATCCTATGATAAATAAATCTCTACTAATTTTCAAGTAAACAATCATTTCATGGTTGGATTTTGTTCAAGGTAAGTATATGAACCAAATTTTGTGGTTTATAAGCAATGGTTATATAGATAATCATTATGTGTAAGTCTTGAAAAATGGGATTTGTTCAATAAATCTTGATTTAAGAAAACTAAGGCATAGTACAATGTGTGAATCAACATAGTATCATTGTAGATTTTCTGTTTTTCCTCTCAACTAATCTCTCACATTGTTATAGAACTTTTGGATATTTTTTACATTCTTGAAGAGTAAAAGGTCTATCATAAATATATTTAATTAATCCAGTTAGAATTGTTCTGAAAAGTGCCCTGAATCCCATTAATTCTTCTAGCATATCTGAACCAATCTGAACCTCTTAAGTACTTTTATGAACTGTTCTTATTGAGCCAAAACTATTTTATTGTCCTTAAGATATTTAAGGAATATGAAGTATAAAATTCAATTATTTATGAGTAAAAAATTCTGTAGAACTCTGAAATATTCCATTTCTCTCTTCACTATGCCAAGTCTTCTTCAAAATTATGTCATTTCAATGCCATGTCTGGAATATCCAAATAATTTCTGGTTTGCAGTATTTATTTCTAGAAACCATTAAACCATTCCTGAAACAGCATGGATAGCAGGACATTTGGCCTGGTCGAGAGATAATTTGTCTTATTTCTAGATGAGTGAACTATGTACATCCAAATGTATAATTCTTATAATAGTGTATAGAATATCTAATATTTAAAATCCTCTAATTATAGATTATATTAAATATATAGTTGTTTGTGGTGAGAGAAATCCAAGCTCCAGGAGTCATTCTAGTGCATAACTTGTTTTGCAGCTTTTGTTTCTCTGCTGTCAAATGTTGGTATATATTTGCTGAATCCTGCCTAGCCTAGCCCTTCTATCACAATTCCAATGAAATAGGTTTTTTTAGATAAAGATGCTTCCATAATCTGTTAAAAATGGTTTAAAAAACAAATTTAGGAATCTACCAAAGAACCAGACTAGGTAAAATTGCATTAATATATCTAAGATTAGTAGATCTGGCCTTCTTAATTTTGGCTAAAACTTATTTTTATAACTAATGATTCTAAGATAAATACAAATAATATTTATTCAGCATGGATTTTTTTCTAATATTATATTTCTGCTGGTTCAGGGTAAAATAGTAAATAAGTAAGTAAGTAAATAATTATTTATGGAAAAATCTTACCCTGCATTTTAGATACTTAAAATTTATCAGAGTATTTATGATTATGTTACTCCTTTTTCAATGGAAGTTGATCACAAACAGAGTAACCTGGATTCTTGTTCATAAATTAGTCAGAGAGCTGGAGTTACATAACTAAATGAATTACTGGTTTTGTGGACATTTGATGTTTAACTAAAAACATTTATCTTGTATAAAAAATATTTCACAAATTTCCCACAGAGTGAAATTTTTAATATCAGATCATTTCCTGGTTAGTTGCTTTATTTACTTGAAACAATGAATATACATTGAGAAGCATGATACATCCTACATACAGTAGTACCAAAAACAAATAGAAATTCTTGATGATTATTTGAATTGTTTTGAGCCCAGATATAGCTCAAAGCAATCATCCTATCAATCATGACCACATCTAATACCAATTTCTGGACCTGGAAAAAAATTGTGCATTGATTCGATACTCTGAAATTTCTCCCTAATTAGAATGGTTATCCCATTGAAAGTTCTAGTGGCCTCCTTAAAAGATACAGCTTAAATAAATTATTTATAAAACTACATTTAGCCTCTCTTAGACTTATGTGCATCTATTCTGCAAATAACAGTAATGAGGTCATGGTTTACATGTCTTCAGCAGTGGCTGAAAACCCTATGATAGGGTAATGTCTTAAATCACTTCTGAAAAAATGCTTTAGTACAGGGGTTCCCAACCAGAGGTGCAAGACGATATTCCGGGGTGTGAAAACTTGGGTTTTCAAAATTATAGTGTATATGCATAATTCATTGCCATTATTTTGAACTTTTGTAAGGGGTGCAAAAATATATCAGAAGTGTTCTAGGTGTGCAGAATATAGAAAAGGTTGGGAACCATTGCTTTAGTATAATCTGTCATATCAGTTGCTTTTTGATATTACTTAATTCCCATATTGTATTCTCAATCTAAACAAGAAGACTATACCAAAATAAAACACAATGGGGAGCAAACAGCTTCTTAAAAAAATGATGACCCCATACATGAACATAAAGAATAAAACCGATACACCCAAATCGAACACAATAATGAACAGTCTCTACAAAAAATGAGCCTACATACTGTATGTACCTAAAGAACAAGACTGATGGAAATAGGTCACTCTTAGAAGAAAACAACCAAGAACAAAGTTGCTACTATCTACCCTACCCCACTCCAATGAAGCCCCTCTGGAACTGAACCATTGCTTTCATAGCCTTATCCTGGAAGAAAATATATAGGCACTCACAAAAGAGCATTCATCAGTAGTTTCTAAAAAAAGAAGCACAATCGCAGGATTCCTGTGACAGGAAGAAAAGTATTCCCTAGAGAAAAAAAGGGAAATATTGGTGACAGGAGATTCAGTTCTTAAGGGAACAGAAATTATAGTCTGCAGACCAGGCAGTCAATCTATGGAGATATATTGTCTCCCTGGAGCAAAAATCAAAGATGTAACTGTATATCTTACTAAAATAATCAACCCCACGGATTACTACCCCTATTTTCTCCTATATATGAGGACCAATGACACAACAGTGAATCTGAAAACAATAACAAGAGATTATGAACAGCTAGGGAAGAAAGTTAAAGAATAAGAAGCACAAGTGGTGTTTTTATCTGTACTTCCAACAAAAGGCCAACATCCAATGAGGGAGCAAAGGATTTTAGAAATGAACCACTGGCTTACAACTGGTGTCGTCAACAGAACTTTGGCTTCCTAGACCATGTTCTTCATTACCTAGATCAGGGCTTTTCATCCGGTGGTACACGTACTACTGGTGGTACGTTGGCACCTGGCAGTTGGTACACGTATGACAGGTTGAAAAGTTCTGTAAAAAACAAGTGTAAAAAAAGTGTAAAAATGGATGAGGTGAAGTGGCGGCAATGCTGCACAGGCTTGTGGGAAAGTCATCTGGAACTGCAGGAGGTGCTTCTTACCTATGTTTCCCTGAAAATAAGACCGAGTCTTATTTTATTTTAATTTTTTTTTGCCTCAAAAAGAGGCATCAGGTCTTAATTTCTGGGGATGTCTTTTATACTCACCTCCAGCACCAACAGCACCACCCAGTCAGTCCACTTCTTTTGGCCAAAGAAGCAGCTGCATTTTGCAGCTGCATTCTAGCCTGCATTTTGCTGTCAGGCCTTTTCGGAAGGCCTATGCAGCCGAGTACTGAACTATGGATTCAATCCATAGCTCAGTTCTTGGCTGCAGTGCCTTCTGGAAAGGCCTGTGACTGAAAAATGCAGCTCTGGCTGCAGAAGACACAAC